TAATAATAAACCGCTCGTATTACCAACCAAGTAAGATTAAAATTTAATTTTTTAATTGATAATTATTTTTAATCGTCATTTTTATCCTTTATAGTACAACCACGAGATAAGATTGGAATTTTATTGCTCACTTGTGGATTTTATACAATTTTTAATCGATAGCAGTTATACAAGTGTTGGAAAATTTTTTTTTATTAAAATAAAAAATACACAACTTGATACTATCATCTAATAAATACCTGTACGACTTAGTACAAACAGATTCTATTTTTACAAATGATGCGGAATGAGTAGTTTACGAGATGTATAAGAAACCTGATAAAATTTTCCCATCCAAGTAGTCGCGAGATTTTCATACAAATGAACAAAAATTTTATCGACGACCTCGACAGCTGAGTTAATTTGCCATACTATGTTGATAATATGACTGTGCTAAAGTGAGACTGCCTATATGCGCACGAGAGTGGATGATTGATGAAAAAATCCAAGGTTGCCGTGCATGCGTGACTGAATATACATATATATTTAGTGAATACATATTTACCGGTGCTTGTGGATATAACCAGCGTGTCCCATTGATAAACTCGAAATTTGAGTAGCCAAAATAATTTTACTCTTATTTATAAAATATTCTTCGAGCCAGTAACGTTAATATTGTAGCGTTCGGGAAAATCATTATTCGCAGAAACGTATGTATGTTCTCATCACTTCTTTTCAATAATTATTAATTTACACCACGTCATCTAATGCTGAAAAATCGTTGTACACTTGAAAATACCAATGCAGTAGTTTTCCTTATCGCCTGATATTTGCAAACCCGAGGTATAGCGCGCGGCTCTTTATTGCACAGTTCGCAGTATTGCGCTGACACTTGTCCGAGATCCCTGCACCGTTACTCAAGTATACATCATAAGAGTCTACTGACCGATATACATCAATGCGAGACACAGTGGAACGCATTCCACACTACTACGTAAATTCATTTCGATCCGAAGAGTAAGTGTTTTTTTGTACTTTCATTCGTTCGTTCGCTCATATTATTTTTTACTTTTCAAATTTACGTACGATATGATTTTTTTTTTTTTTTTTTTTTTCTTTTAATTTGATGTCATAAAATCAACTAAAATTAAGATACTGTTGTACGTATTTGATATTCGTATATTTTCGTGTCGTAAATAAAAGAACTTAAAGAGTCTCCAACAAAGTACTTGTACAGAATTGAGAGCACAAAAAAGATACTACTTGTATCTTTGCCCGGTGAAATATTATTATTTCGATGGAATGAAATTTGATCGAAAGCATTTGATTTAAGTTGAACGTAACGATGGGCGTACCGCGTAACCGGTCGCTCTTGGTGATTTCGATCGTCCTGGTCGCCTGCTGCAGTCAGTGCGTCGATGGCTTGAGAATCCTAGGATTGTTTCCGCTGCACGGAAAAAGTCATTTTTCGATGTGCGAGAGCCTCATGAAGGGATTGGCCGCGAAAGGACACCAAGTCGACGTCTACAGCCACTTTCCTCAAAAAAAACCGGTTCCACGTTACACGGACTACAGTCTCGATGGCACGCTACCGGCCGTCGTGAATAACATCACTTACGACTACATCCAACGATTCGATAGTCCGAACATCAAATTCATGATGGAAGAGCTCGCGAACAAAGTGTGCGAACTCATGAGCACATCCGAGTTCCAAAAGTTGTTCCAAAGACTCGAGAAAAATCAGCCCTACGACGTCGTCATTATGGAGGTACACGCTTTACACCTATACATTTGGTTTAAACAGTGGAAATTGGTTTTAAAAAGCCTTCATGTGTATTTTACATAAAAATGACGAATTTGAACAATTGCCTGTCAAAGTGATACCCTATACCAATTTTCAGTCGACAAATGTTACGTAGGTACTCTCAAAAATAATGGCATTAATCCCAAACTCCCAATTTAATTAGTATAAGAAAAAAATAACATTGAAAAAAAAAAAAAAAAAGTCACTCGACAGGTAAAAAAAAAAAAAAAAATGTCACTCGACAGGTGTTTGTGTCCAATTGTTACCTCGCGTGGGGTCGTTTCCTGAAAATCCCAATGGTGGGCGTGATGACGAGTTCCCTGATCGATTGGTACAACGAGCCGCTCGGTAATCCGCTTAATTTAGCGGTGACACCGTCGTCCTGGTCGCACTTATACCACCCCATGAACTTTTGGGAAAGACTGACGAATGCGTTCATGTACAACGTCATCGTCATGCAGACAAAGTATTACATCCGCTGTCAGGACAAGTACATCGAACAGTACTTTGGTACCGGATATCCGAACTCCAACGACATCATCAGAGATTTGGATCTGCTGCTGGTCAACATGCACCATTCCGTCAATGGGATCAGGCCATTTACCCCCGCCATCGTTCCCGTCGCTGGTTTGCACATCCAAGACGACGACCCAAACTTACCTAAGGTAAAAACAATGCATTGTATATGATCCCCTACAATTAGTTATTGTTACTTGTAAAATGCGACTACTATAATATCACCAACCGTAGGCAGTGCAAAAATGGTTGGACGAAAGTACGAGTGGCTGCGTTTACATGTCGTTTGGCTCGATGGTCAGGATAGAGACGCTCCCCAAGGCCATTCTGACCGGGATTTACGAGACCTTCAAAAAACTAGCCCCGGTGCGCGTGCTCTTGAAGATAGCCCAGCCCCAGGAACTACCACCGGGTCTTCCGTCGAACGTGATGACGCAAACCTGGTTCTCCCAAATGAAGGTTCTGAGTAAGTGCGCCGAGCTATTAAAATAAAAAAAATAAAAATAAATGATAGGTAAACAATTGTACTGTTCCTACTTTTGCAGAGCACAAAAACTTGAAAGCCTTCGTTACCCACGGGGGCCTGGGCAGCACGCAGGAATCGCTGTCCGCTGGCGTTCCGATGATCGGCGTGCCCCTGTTCGGCGACCAGCACATAAACGTTAGATCTCAGGTCCGCAGGAACATCGCTACGATGGTCGACATCAAGAACTTCGACACGAACGCCTTTTACTCGGCCGTGAAGGAAGTCCTCGGCAATCCGATTTACAAGTAGGTGTGACCGAGGCTGCGTGGAAAATTACATACCGATCTTTTGCGTGACGCGGTGTCTGAACTGTTTGTAGGAAAAACGCCGAGGAGGTGGCCAGGGATTTCTTCGATCGGCCGATGAGCCCGATGGACGAGGCGACGTTTTGGGTGGAGTACATCGTCCGCCATGGCAAGCAATCGTTAAAGTCGCCGGTCGTCGACATGCCCTGGTACCAGGCACACATGATCGACGTCTACGGCTTCGTTCTGCTGGTGCTCGTTGTCGCTTGTTACGTCGTTAAAGCGATCGTGAGAAAAATATTGAGGCTCTTCTGTTCTTCCTCGTCGGCTCCCGGTAAGAAGAAGAAACGGGAATGAGAACGTCTGATTTGTCGTACGTATATTGTGCATGAACACCGATGTGCCGAGCGCGGATTGTGATCATTAATGTTAAACCAAAGCTTTTTTTAAACTGTTAATTTTAAGGTTTCGTTGATACTTTGTTACGCACGGTTTTTGTCGATGTAGATGGAGGAATAAGAAAAAAAATGTAATCATCTCTACTTGTCTTACGTTTCGTATCGATTACCCCGTGATTACGTAACTATAACGATCTTCTTGGCACGAGTGATTCAGATGATTTTTTTTTAGATGACGTAACTAAAAACTACTAAATAAAAGAGACAAAAAGGAAAACGATGACAAATAACTCCTCAAGTGCTGTAGAATTAAATATACTAAAAAAAATATGATGCATTTTTTACTCATGTAAATTAACAATTTTTTTATGAGACGAAAGTTTTTAAATATAAAACTTATGAATTCGTTTGATAGTAATTGATACTAAGTTTTTGTGCGATTTAATTGATATCAAAGTTTAAGTGTGCATCCTCGAAATAAATTTTCTTCGACATAGCACTTTTTCGTACAAGAAAATGTAAGTTAACAGTGTGACTGCAGATTTATTATGCCACAATGGAATATCTATTGAGTAAAAATATAAAAAAATATGATGTATAAATAAAGTGAGTAAAAAAGGAAATAGTTAAGTAATGTAATATTGTTTAGTTGGAAACGGTAATAAAATAAGAAAAAGTATTTCAGGTGTTGATCTTATTATTTTTTATTAATTAAAGAGCGAAAGCCTTTGGATCTTGGTCTCAAATTTTGACAATAAAAAATTTTCACATGTAATTAATTATCGACTATCTCGAATAATAGAATATCACAGAGGTAAACAATTAAAAAAATATCCATTCTCTTATATGCTCTCGTTCTTATTGAAACAGAATGAATGTGGAAAGTTGACTGGTACAATTGTTGAGAAATGCAAATAAGTCATTAAAGTCGAATGTTAGGTCCTAATACATTTTCCACCAAGTAATTTTGAAAAAAATATTTTTTGCACGAGTTTAATTTTTAAATCCACGTCAATTAAAAGAAGAATAATTTTTTATTCAACCAATTTGTAATTATTTTTCAATATTATTATTTTTATAAGAATTCTAATGACTCTAAAATCGAAAAATTTTCGGCCAAGAGAAGCAAGGCTTTCTAAATATAATTTTTTTCAAAATTCTCTTATGCACAAGCATCTTGGTTTTTTTTCTTTTCCATGTTTATAATATTTTACCAGGAACCAGAGATACTTAAATGTAATTTTTTGAATGATTGCACGGTAATTGCGTCGCGTCACATTTTAAATCAAGTTCGCAAAAATATTGTTTGATTTTCCTTCACCAGTTTTTTCGTGCAACGAAAATTGATTTGACATTGCGCACTTTTTTCCCTCATTGTGTTTAAGCTAGAACTCGATATTACTCGTTCGCGTGCAATCTCGAATCAATTGTATCCGAATATTAAAAAACATAATTTGCAATTTTTCAATTCTCGCAATTTACAATTTTTTTTCAATTTTTTTTTGTTTTTTTTTTTTCTTTTTATTTTTTTTTCTTTCCGGTATGGTTTTAGGGCAGATACCCACCAATGCAAGAAAAGTTCGAGTTTTGCATCCACAAAACTAGATAGTAAGTCTGCTCTCATCTTCAAAAGTAAGAATACTTTATCCAAAACAGCGTCCAAGTCTACCTCGAACTTTTTCTAGCAGGCAAAAAATCGCGGACCAACGAATCTCAAGCTCTATTTTAACAATATAATCAATATCACTCTAGATGTTTCCTTTGCACACGCTTTAGAGGACTGCTCGAGATTCACTATTCCGCGCGTGCGAAGCTTGATTTTACCACACGCACGAGATGGTATAAAAAAAAAAAATGCGTACAATCGGAGCATTCTCGGTTGTTGCACAAAGCTCCGCGCAAGCTGTACCCGATCTTTATCCATCACTAATAACAACGCCAACAATCACTTTGCGTACAATAAAAAATACCGTACGCCCCTGTGATGGTTACAACGCCACAAGCCTTAATTTTTCACTTTTTTTTTGTCGCTGTTATGACAGTAGAGACTGCGCAATGTCTCTCGAAATGATGTTATTAACTCTAAGAGTACAAAGTTTGTCAGGGAGGAGAGATGAAACTTGATGGAATTTTCAACAGATTTGTCGTTCATCTCCTCGGAATGCGCAAGAGAGGCTGGCTACTACGAGTGCACAAGAATTTTGGTATTTTAGCATCTATACGATGTATGACAGTACTAGACGGATTTCAACAAGACTCATCCCATCGACAACCAGCCTCTCGTGTTTTTTTTTTTTTTTTTTTGTTTTACAAGATTTCTTTTTTTGCGAGTAACATCGCCACAGAAGTAGAAAAAAAAAGGAACAAAAAAGTATAAATTTAAGAACTACCCGCAAAACAATGGTTTCAGCGGAAGAAAAGAAGGGAATAGGGGAACGAAATTTATGAAAGAAAGAGGAAATTATCGAAAAACGCGCAGGGGATTTTAATGGGTGGAAAAGTAGGGAAGGGGGTGGGAGTAAATTACCGATAATTTCGAAGGTGATGTGGCCATCTAACTAATCGAAAATTAACGACCAACGTGTGTATGCACGCGCAAGCTGCGCGTACACGCAATACATAGTATATACATTAGACATATACGAAAATCATACTCGCGCAGAAGCACACTCTCCTTTCTTACTTCAATCGCTTGTTTCATATAATAAACGTTCGCTCGTCCTAACGGACGAAATAGGTAACACGCACGACGCACAAGCATTCCCTGGAAAAAAAGGTCCATTGTTTGAACCTCTGTACGCATGGAATCGATTGATTGGTTTATCAAACGCTTGCAGTCACACAAATATCTCTCTCGCATAATACATACGCACAGAAACGCACGAACACTCGCTTTTTATCTATAAATGTATATCATCGCTCACTTTGATCGCTGATTATCACGCACTTTGCAACTTCGTTCATCAAAAAGGGTCGTAAAGTCGGCCACTCGCTCGTTCGCTTTAAAGCTCACTTTGGCAATTTCAATTTTGAATTACGGGACAATCGTCATGTGCACGTGAATAGCGAAATGTAGAAAAAAAGCCAACGAGAAAAGCCGAACCCTTGAGACAGCTGATTGTATTGCCCGAAGTGATGGTAGTTTTTTTTGTTTTCCAAGCGCAAGGATTGTTTCATCAATCGAGGATGAACGCGTCACACGGAACGGTTAGTAATGCGTTTAGTCTCATAATCGTGTATTAAATGTACTTTTATCATTATATATTATCATATTTTTATACATATATATTTATACAGTCTTTTTTCCGACGGCGAATAACCGCCAGAATAATCATTTTTCTCCAGACACCGCACGCTGCCGAATTCATAGATAGTATCTGTGTGGTCGTCTCGTATTTTTTATACTCCGCTCGGTATATATATATATATTTATAATATTTACAAGGAAAATCGATCAAATTATTATTTACCAAATATTTTATAATGCGAAATAATACGAAACAAAAAAAATTAAACGTGAGAAATATTTATATCTCGGATGCTCTTCTCTCAAGAGTTTTATTCCTTTCTTGAATTGCAAATTTATTTCGGGCGTCACATAGGTCGACAATACTTTCAACAAACTCGTAACTTTAATTATACGTCGTGAATTTGTGCATTACTTACGAGTACTCGCGACACTTTGAAAAATGTTATTCTTCCTCATGTTAGTTTTATGCAACGGTTTTATACATCACAAGTTTCAAAGCCTCAATTTGTCCACAAAAGTTTGTTGTATTCTTTTTTACCTCCCACTAACTTGTTATGTTGAATTATTTCTCGTCTCGTAAAAAATCATCTTAAGATTTAAAATTAGAATTTTTGCAATCGCTAACAGCATTACAATCGTAAAAGCATTGCAAACCGTTCTCACATCACTCGCGTGCACATCCTCTATTCTTTTTAAATTGTACATAGGAAATAATGTTTGTTTCTCTTTTCACAGTGAAAGCCGAAAGAGGTAAACTTTCGTTGTGAAACGAAGAAACGAAAAAAAGAAAAAACAAACAAAGAAAAAGAGAAGTCGGATTTCACCGGTTAAGAAGTTTCTGTTTTTAGCAAATTCTTTCTTTCTTTTTTTCTTTACTTCTATTTTTTTCTCGCGTAAATCTACGTCACTTGGCTGGTGGTGTACACTGATTTGTATTATGGTGTAATCTTTCGAAAAGATTTTTCTTCCTCTTTCCTAGGGTTTTGGATTTTTTTTCTTGTAAAATCGCGGGGAAATAGTGACGATATCTTTTAATGATTTGTTCGAATAATTCAACTATTACTCAATGGATCGACGCTAAAAATCGAAAGGTCTTACATTCTTGACTGATCGACTCGTTTTTCGGTGATTTCACAGAATATTTGGCAAATTCATATACTTTATAGTTTAAAATCCATTTTGTTAGTTAATAAAAAAGTTTTAATCACAATAGGCGCATTTCATTTTTAATTTCATTGAAGTAGAAAAAAATTTATCAACTTTACACAGTAAAATTTAAAAATCAACCAAATAAACTTGCAAATCTCACTAAAGGATTCAAGAAAACTGAACGATTATGCGTACCTTACTATACGAATGCCAAGGTTTTTCGTTACCACTAAAGTACTATGCATCAGAATGACGGAGATATATTAATTTACGCATAAAAGAGTGCAAGACGAAATGATGTATTTTTGATGGAAAAAAGATTACCGACCACCAGCCAGTTTACTTTATAAAAATAATTGTACAAAACTAGTCATTTTACAATCTCTGACGTTCAATCATTTTAATAAAAAAAAATTCGAATGTACGAGATCAAACCAAGAAAAGAAAAAGAAATTTTTTTTTCTAATAAAAATCAGCCAACAGGATCATCGGTGATCCATGAGAAAAACAACCTTTCATTCTTGTATTTTGTACGAAAGATTTGAAAATCGATTGAATTTCAGAGTTGTGTAGACAGTATATATTAAAGCATATAAAATCAAGCCACGGTCAATCAGTTGGTACGATTTTACGATTTCACACTTTCGCTAAATCAAAGAGTATGTATGCGCTGACGTATGATAATTATTGGGAATAGACTTGTGATCTCTAACTGTACATCATTTTTACGCAATATCTTTACGATAATTCATCACTTAGCAGTTTAGTCGACCATAAATATACTCAAGATCAAAAATTATGCGTATGAACATATACAAAAATCGATGTTTAAATGGGCGCCTGTAACGATTCTTTCTCTTTTTTCGACGTAAATATATTTACACTTGTGATAATGCAATGAAGCAATCGATGTTAACTATTTAATCCATTTTCTCTTTGTACATATCATTACGATACTTAATTATTTGTTATTGCGGACAGTGGCTTGATTTTATGCTATATCATAGTATTTACATTTAAATTTATATACAAAGTATGACTCAGCACTGGCACTCCAAAATCACTGTTCAATCACCGAAGTCGCTAAGCGCAGAGCACATTATGATTAAATTTTTTTTTTCATGCTCAAGTAATACCTTATTTACAAGTAACTTTTTTTTATCTTTGCTTATTACGACTAAAATTGTTTTTCATGATTTTGCATTAAATTCATTGTTTTGTTGTTTCTACACGCAAATCGAATGTTCAAAACACTTTTTTGCATTAGATTTTTTTTGTAGCACTGACAGTACTTGTCTTATTTTTGTTTGTGTTGCGTTCTTTACACGCGCGAAAAATCGGGAGTAGAACTTTAGTTCATTAATGTGGTTGTTTTTTTCGACTCACCCTCAGACTTAAGTAACACAAAACGTTTTTTTGATCTCACTTTTTCGAGGAAAAAAAAAAAAAAGAAATTGTTCAAAGGTAGCACGCGCACCGCATCGATAAATCATTGGACGTGCACATACGTACGTGAATCTTCGAAATGAGAATTTTTTCAACTTCTGAAAGTCACAATCACTGGTCACACCGTAAATTTTTTTCTTTCTCTCTCTCTAAATATATATATATCTCTCTCTGTTTTGAGCGATTGATAATACATAAATGTATTATTATCATCGTTGGTGGGAGGGCACAGGGCCATATGATTGCGCTTAATAGAACTACTTGGACACGTTGCTCTCTTCCAGGCTATTATTCTCATCCTGCCTTGATACGTACAAGCACGGATCGATCACTTTAGGGATGGGCTTGATCTCGGTACCAAGCTCCTGCTCGATGCGGTGCAAGTTGAAGCGATCCTCATACGTAATTAGATTGATTGCAATACCCAGATGGCCGAACCTGCCCGAACGACCGATACGGTGCAAATACGTTTCTGCCATCTTGGGGAAGTCGAAGTTGATTACCACGTTCACAGCCTGAACGTCGATACCACGCGTGAACAAGTCACTGCAGACCTGTGGATATAGTTAATTTTTTTGTTACACATATTTAATTAAAATTTTTATCTCGGTAGAAATATTTTACCAAATTTCGGCAAAGTCCATTCCGGAAGTCATGGAATACACGGTTTCTGTGTGCTTGCGCCATCTTGGCGTGTATGTAATAACAGCAATAACCCAAATCTGTGATCTTTTTTGCCAATAACTCAACGCGCTGCGTTGTGTTGCAGAATATTATGCTTTGATTAATTTGTAACTGAAAAGCAAATTTAAAAATATTTAGGAAAATTCGAACATATTGATAAGATTGACTTTTCAGGAGTTTCACATTACATAAACAAATTATTCCTTACCTTGGAAAATAGTGTATTGAGGCAGTGCACTTTCTGACGTTCCTGCACAAAAGCATAGTATTGTGTCACGCCTTTCAGTGTGAGCTCTTCCATCAAGTTAATTTCGTAGGGATCTCTCAAGTGCTTTTCCATAAATTGTTTTACCGTCAATGGGAAAGTTGCTGAATACAGCAAGATCTGACGTTCTTGGGGTAATCTGAAATAAAAATTTTACCATTGCCATACATAAGATTTTTACTTGGTTGACTAAATTTAATGTCTTGGGAGCAAAAGCAAAAGCATGAGGTCAATACCTGGAAATCACGTGATCCAACATTCCTTTGAAATCTTGTGACAGAAGCTTGTCAGCCTCATCTAAAACCAAAATTCTGCAGTGCTCCATATCGGCAACATTTTTATCCATGAGATCAAGAATTCTTCCAGGTGTGGCTATTATCACATGTACTGAAATAATGCAATTTTTTAAAGTTGTTTCAATTTCATTCTCATTTTGTTTAATTTCACTTTAATTGTGCCTAACATTACCTTTTTGATAAATCCTCATAATATCATCGCGCAAGTTAGTGCCACCGGTGGAAACCATCACTTTGACATCCATGTGCTTTGCAAGTTGAATTAGAATTTGTGACGTCTGCAGTGCCAACTCACGGGTAGGCACAATAATCAGTGATTGAATAACGTCTTTTGTAGCGTCAACCTATGGACAGAAAACAAGTCATTTATAAATAGTTTGAAATGCAAATTTTTTTTTTTTTTTTTTTCTGCTCGGTAGCTCATCGGTCGTTGAACGCGAGCCCGAAACAGCAGAATTAACATTCGAAAGGTAATTTTTCACTAAATAACTAGCTTTTTACTCTATAAGGATATATTGAAGAAAAAATTCATGTGTGTACTTCAAAGTATGTATATGCAACTCGGGCCGATAAGAAAGTTAATCGGGCTCGGGTGGTATTACGAGAGCTTTCTTTTGTTGTTACTGGCGCTTACACGAATGTGCTCAGAATTCACCTACAAATGCAAATTTTTTTTTTTTTCTGCGACTCCCTCAAAGCGTTCAATTGTTGATTGTTGATTTTTATGAGTAAACGGCGTCACGCGATTTATAAAATTATCGGAACAATTTCAACGTGGCGCAGCAATAAATTATTTTAAAATCTTGGAAAAGATTGTGATCTCTTGATGCTAAATGAAGTTTATGGCAATATTTTACGTATTTGTTTACACGATTGTTTTTAAAACAGCCAAAGTTACGAATACAAATATTCATGTGTTTTCATCGATTTCATCAACCACAAGGTATCGCGTGCAAAAGTAAATCCTTAAGTACCAAGTTATAATAGTACACAACGTACAGCTTCGAGTTTTAACGTTTTTGCGCAAACTGACGTAATTAAAAAATGCGCGAGTTCTAAAGAAAAAAAAAATGAATTAAAATCAACTATGGATCATTAAAAAAAAAAAAAAAAAGTTGCGTGTCACGATATAAGAATGAAATTGAAGCGAGAAAAACAAGACGCGCGAATCGCCAAAGCGTTTTTAAGCGAGGCGATCGATTATCATTATCAATATTCGTCGTATCCAATTAATCAAAGACTATATCTACGTACGTTTCGCCTTTCGGTGCCTTCTCTCTCTTTGAGGTGTACTTTACTCACTTGTATGTACGTTATTTTCGTACCCACCTTCTCTTGGTTTCTGTTTACAATACGCGAAGATATAGGCATACATAACGCGTAACTGGGCGCTCGTACGTATAAAATATGTAAGATAAATCGACGTGACTCGATTTGTTTTTATTGAGTCGGTTCAGTCACTCAATACAGCGAAAGCCTTTTTCTTTTTGCCGAAGGGTAATTGTACCTATCTCGATTATTTATTTATTTCACGCTTGATTTTCTCATCAAAATTGATCCACCGGGTTCAGCGCAAAAAAACATAAAGTGAAAGTCGTTAGAAGTGATTTTTTTTGGTGCTATTCCAGCGCATACCCACATAGTTTGAGTCACTTGTGCAAATATTTACGATAGTTTGAATTTTTTTGCCGAGGCATTTAAAAAAAATTTGAATCGGTCAAGAAGCACCAGACGCTTGGTATATACCAAGGAGTGAGAAACTGAGTGCTTCTTGTTGTATAAACTTTACGTATTTTGTTTTTCCCATCGTACGTCTATTCAAGTCAGTTTGTAAGCTGAAAAAAAAAAAAAAAAAAAAAAAATATGGTCAAGGTTACTATTGGAGTTGCGTGACGCAAAGTTGAATAAATAAACCAAAACCAACTCGGTGTGTTACCAGAGCGATGGGAGCAAAGTAAAATGTTTTCGTCTTATTTTGTTTGGCCACAGAAACATCCAGGATATCATCCCGCGGGAAAGGCACGGTGTACAACACAGGAGGCGGCGGCGGCAGCACGTCATCGTTACGGCGCACATCAAGAGCAGTCGACGGGTTGTTATCATCGCGCCGTACCATCGCTAGTACCACCACCAGCCCAAGTGACGTTAAGATCACCGGCAAACAGAGAAACAACATCAACGTCCTCTCGAGTGGAAGCAAGGAGGAGTGCGGGCAGTGCCAGTACCGTCGTTGTTCGCCGCTGTTTCTCTCGTCGAGTTGCTCAGCACCGGCAGCGTGTATGATCATTGAGGGCCGAGGCCGCCTGTCCAGCAGGAGCAGCAGCAGCAGCAGCAGTTGTTGTGGTTGCGCTAGCCACAAGCAGCAGTTGCAAGACGAGGACGATCATTGCCAAAACGCGGCGCTTCGCGTCCACCTGAACCGACTGCTCCTGGTCGATCACAGGACTGCAAAATTTTCCAGGTTTGCTACTATTATTATTATCATTACTCGTCTTGAAAACGCTGTTGCTGATGCTTTGTCTTTCCATAGTAATAGGCATCGGAAGCTCCAGCCGTTCAGAGAAACGTGACTGGTATTCTCATCTCCGGGGACAAATTACGCACACCACCAGCAACCTGAAGCGTCGACGACATTCATCGCTAGCCAGCAAGCGTTCGCTGGAAAAACAATTGGTGGTGGTGGTGATAGTGGAAGTAAATGTGGTGGCCCCTGGCGATTTAGGGCGAGCTCGCTGCGCGACTTCCAAACTGTCGTCTACCGACGCAAAGCCGAGATCCAGGCGAACGAGGACCAAGACCTTACCCACCTGAGATACTGCGTAACGGTACGTGTACTAACTTCCTTATTTTTTTTCTTTTTTTTTTTTTTTTATCGTTTAGCTGAAGTGCACCGTACGCGCGTCGCTGTTAGACGAAGGTCGTTTAAATTTTATCAAACGTTGAGCAAACTATCGGGTCAAGTGTCCCAAGAAAGAAGTCATGATTCCTGCCGCGTCTCCAAGTGGAAAAATCTATTATTCACATTCCAATCTACTTTTGATTCGCGCAAACGTCACCGACGTACCAATTTCCAATGATTTTCAAAGCTTAACGATTCGAATGATCTTATATTACCGCGTGCTTTTGCAAGCACATCCCATTTGTACGGGATTAGTGTGTATACATAAATCAACAGATTT